TGCCTAAAATATCTAGGTTTTGGCTTTGTTTGCGTGTGCAGACCGATCGGTGTATGACATCAAAATACCTCGAGAGCATTTTGAAAGCATAAGGAACCATCTGTATGGTATTTTGATGTCATACACCGATCGGTCTGCACACGCAAACAAAGCCAAAACCTAGATATTTTAGGCAATATAGAAATCCTGGCCAGGACGCGTCCTGGGAAGTATGGTCACCCTATAATACGCTACCAAACCATCCATGCCCATATAAGGGCTTCCTGTACTACCTCACCTGTCTCTCCCGCTCGCTCACGCTCTCTTTCGTGCGCGCACTCTCACGTAAGAGCATGCGCAGAATCATTCTCAAAACCGGTTTTGTATTAGCCTGGCCTACATCGTTTTGTCACGTAATTTTTATTGTTATTCATTAAGAGAATCACTTAGTTACTCCTTATCTAATAATGTGTTTGTTTATTTATTTATTTATTATTAGGCTATTATTATTTTTATTATTATTATTATCTTAACAAGTGGCTTGACACCTGTGATATTTTTGTATACATGTGGTTCCAGTTGGTTTTAAATTTTATCGTAAATGTTAAAAATGTTTCAACTTACTGATGAATGATTGTATAATGATGTTTAAAAGATGCCAGTTAAATAGTTTGCAAAAGCTGACATCATGACAAAAACAACTTTTATGTTGAGATTGTGAAAACCTTGTAAGCCACGAGAAAACAAGACAGTAAAAACGTCTAAAGTGTTTTCTAAAACTTACAACAGTATTTTAGACTCTCCCTTCATCCTGCAGAGAAATGATCACAGCACAACCATCTTTTTTTATTTATTTTTGATGCCTTCGCTCTTTTCTTGTTTAACCCACATGCTGTCATTATCTCCAATAAGCAATCTGGCTTCGAAATATTTCTGAGTATTCTAGCAGCAGGTGTCCTGATCTAGAATTAGTTTCTAGGATTACTTTTAGTTAAACAGCAGAGGGATCTGTATTTCATTTTGTCCTCCCACGCTGAAATTCAGACCCTGTTCTGCGTGTAATTTTCTCATATTAATCCATCAACTGCCAGCTAATTCTCAAATATATAGAAGAAGCTTGTTTTAAGAGTTGGTTGGGTCTGTAAAGGCATTCAAGACAATTATCTCGGCTTGCTTGAAGGGTCTGGAAAATGATCTACGATTTTATAACGAGCCTGCATGAGTGAGAGTGGGCTGTGGTTTATATTCCACCCTGCGGTATTTATTCTGTTCCTCATCTGATTAGCGAGACTTCCTGTAATGCAGTGACATAATGCAGATGTTCGTAGGTGGCCAGTGAGAGGATTAGTCAAGGTCTGGTGACATAAAATGAACAAGTTAAATGAATACTGCGCACAGCGAGCATTTCATGTGTATGTATGTGTTGTCCGTGTGCAGTGTGCCAATGCTAAGTGTAAGGAGCAGAGGTTGTCTGTCACCTGTCACCTGACTGCTCGCCTGTGAGTACCTGCAGCTGTCTGTGCCATCTGTTTCCTACATGTCTCTGATATTATGCATGGTAATTTTCTAAAACCAGGAGCAGCGATCACCTAAAAACATTTTACACAACATAGTCCATCACACATCTTACAATAATACAAATATAACTGTTTATTCAATAATATGTAATAATAAGACACACCCCCTTCCTCCTCCTAACCCAGAGATGTATAATTGCTCTAGAATAGTACACAGGATGGCAAGTTGGAGGCCAGGAGTTGGTGCTAAGGAGATCCTGTGCTCTGTAACAGGGAGTCCTTTCCTAGTATTTCCGAAGTGGGATGCATGCAATAGATTCCCAGTACTCTCCAGGTGTGCTGGATTTCAGAGCAGCAAGTCCGCCATGCTGGTTAGGGGCGCAGGGGATGGCCAGATGACCCAGGCTGTTAGTCTATGGTCAGCCTTCATCAGGTCTCCACGCAGGCCTCAATACTGTTTCGTAGGACAGGTGTGTTAGCTCTGCCTCCGGTGACTGTCAACCAATCAGCCTGTTCCTGCATTCACTGTAAGATCAGAGGCGGGGCTTAGGCAGGAAGCCATGTTCTGTTTGGCAGTTACTGCCACACTCAGGCAAGCCCTGGCTAGTGGAAGACTTTGCTTTTTTGGAAGACAAGAGGACAGGGAAGAAAAGGACTGGCTTGTTTTCTTATTCGTTTCGTTTGGAAGACCTGATCAGAAAAAAAGGTGTGTTGGCTTTTAGGTTTCAGTTTGAGTGTGTTTTTTTTTTGTGTTTTTTTTTAGTGTTCTTTTTTGCTTAAATCTCAAATCATGTGTTTAATTGTGGGTGAGGAGGTCTCAAAAAGTCAAATTAGTCCATTAACGGCACAGCCTAATGAAAGAAACATTTTAAAAAGAGAAAAAAAACCCCATAGAAAAACAAGTTTGCACAAGGGAAAATATAGCAGTAAAAGAAAACAATCAAACAAATACAAGGTTTCAGGTTCATACATATTTTCCACTAAATATAAAAGCACATTTCAAGGAAGTACCCATCAGTTCTTCAAAATGACATTTTTAGTATGGGTAAAATGGCCTTCATTTGCAATTAATATTACAATTTAATAAAAACAAATACAAAAAGAAACTAAAATCTGTACATGTCCACAGTCCTTATGGCTCACAGCAGTTTTGGCAAGACCAGGCAGTCCATCTCCCCAAAAGCACCCATTTACAGTACCGTCATCATTTTTTGATTGCATTTAATATTACTTTTTAATCATTCTTTGATTTATATACACATTTTGTTCTGTTTTATTCCTCTGAGATAGATAGTATGAAATCTATTTTTCGTCACAAAAATACAGCATGAAAATTTCATAAGTGTTCCCTTGATCGTCTCACTCTTTTTGCATGCTTGAATTGAGGGCAAATGGAACAGAGGGTGGACTCAATGTGTCCTTGAGAACTTGCCCTGATTTAAAAGAGAGAGCGAGAGTCAGGAGAGATTTGATACCATAATACTAGCAACTTCACAGCAAAACCAGGTCTGGACAAAAGCGAGAGTGAGTGAGCAAGGCCCATTTGACAATACCAAAATTGGGTTTACGATCTGAACGTCACTTTATCTCCATGTCATCTCCTCCTCCGCTGCGTTCTCGCTGATTGGATCAATCCCCCCCTCCCCCCAAAAAACCCTCAGTTCATCGTCTGCTAATGTCCTCGGGTTCCTTGGTTGCACAGGGAAGTTATTGCTCACAGCGCTGGGCTATTGCATTCCAGTTTGGCTTTTATTGAGTCAATCGATCGTTACTTCGCTCTGTCTCTCTCTCTCTCTCTCTCTCTCTCTCTCTCTCACTCACACACATACACACACAGAGCTGGAGGGAAGGTTAATAGCCACTGGACACACAGGAGAGGGTTTGGGGAGATTGCTCAGGAAATGGAGTGTGACTTTGGAGCACACATGAGGAGGCGTGTGAGCTCCACGTTCGTCCTTGTGTTCTTAACATCTCCGTCGGGCCAGGTACATACACCACATGTACGCACATAAGCGTTCCCCGCCCCCCATCCTCAGAGGGCCCATGTTCCTTGCCTTCCACTCAATCAGCAAGAATTCATGTCTAATTCACAGAACAGGATCTCGCTCTCATCATTAGTGCCAAAGCACACGCTCTCCTCCAAGAATCCAACTTAATGATCTTCTGGTTTTGCTCCTCATAATCTAATGCCTCTAAAGCCGTCTTCCTCTCCAACTTCAATCACAGAGCTGCCCTCAGGATTTTCACAGACTCTCGCAGCCAGCGAATCGTTTTCATCCCAACTCTCGTCTTGCATAACCAAACTTTCTCTAGACTTTCTCATGCTACACATTACAATTCCTTTTAAAGGAATGTTCCAGGCTCGATACAAGTTAAGCTCAATCGACAGCACTTGTGGCATTATGTTGATTAACACAAAAAATCTATTTTTTCTCTGGGTTACAGTGAGTCACTTACAATGAAAGTGAAGAGGGCAAATCTATAAACCTTAAAATACTGACTGCTTTAATAAAATAGCTATAAGATATAAAAATTAGCATGTTAACACGATTTTAGTGTAAAAAAATATGCTTGCTTACTTTTTCAGTGTAAAGGTGTATTCAATTTTACTTGCCATGACAACGAAACAGTTAAAACCATAAACAAATATTAGAAAATGGTAATTTAAACAGCTTTACAGTTATAATAAACAGAACAATAAATGTAAGTGTTTTATAAAATTAAAACCTTCAAATTTCTGCTTGAAAATCTAAAAATGTGTCCTATTCTTATTCATTTAAAGTGCATCACTTTGTAACCTAGATTTTTTTGTTTTTTTCTAAAGAAAATGAGGAACAAGTTTAAATGCATTTTTGGTGTAATCAACATTATGCCACATCTGCTGTTGATTCAGTTGAACCTGGAATATTCTTTTAATATCCGACTTGCTACCAACTTTCATCGAGACACGTACACGTACCATGCTTCAACATGCTAAAAACGTTCTGCAACATGCGCAAACCTTCAACAACATCCACTATACATTCTGCTGACTTCCTGTTGCATTTTCCTAAATATTTTAAGTCCTTTGATTTAATATTGTTAATATTGTTGATTAATTTTATGTACTTATTTATTTATTTTTTTTTATTTATTTATTTTTATTTTTTCAGGTGTTTGGGGTACAGCTCAGGGACTTTAAGTCCATGCGAACAGAAATAAGAATCAGCAAATGACCTTTCTCAGACAGAATAACAGCAAAACCAAAGTTGTGAACCTATCACACCTACAACCACTCAGGTCGTTGCCTTCTACAGCCCCAGCAGCTGCTATTGGCCAGCAAATGCATGATGTCAAAGAGGAGATCACTTCTCTTCTGTAGGACAAACGGGCACCTTTTGGAAGCTGGTTGACCAATGTTTTACTCAAACACACACATAGGTAACAACTTACGGAGTGTGGTGTGTGTAGACTAATAAGATGGCTTTGGAATTACAAAGAGATCCTGGATGTCACAGCACTTCCTCTTGGTTATGTGTCAATTGTGAAAGTTGGGTCATCAGTCAACATTTCCAGGCAGATTAAAATGCCCAGACTTGACCGAACCATTAAAATGATCAACTGTGGTGTGCAAGCCAGTGCGTTTACACATGTGTGCCCAGACAGCCACACACACATAAATAAATAATGGAAGCAGATGTTCATTTCACATCGTTCTGTCTCTTTCACACTCTAATACTCACGTCTAAATGCACACAAACACTGTGTCATTGATCGGCTCGCCACAATTTAAATTTGCATATTAAAATCTCTCATCTGAGCTGCTCGAACGAGCCGAACGTTCGCAGGAAATGGAGTAAATAATTCAAGCAATCATGGCTGGACTCCATGTAATCCCCTGTAAGAATTCCATCAAAGAGCTATCAAACAATTGCCCCGAATCTCCACTCGTTTTCCAATGATACGGATGCTGCTTCAAGTCCACTGGCTATTAAACATGAATAAAGTCGTCACAAGAGAATTTAGTTCTTTTTTTTTTTTTTTTTTTTGATCTTACAGCCTGCAGGTGTATCCACAATTAAACCAAAAACAGATGTGTTTGGGTTGTGGATTCAATCTAAACTCATTATCATCATCATCGGGTTGTTTCTGAGAATATCAGACAGTGGAAGGAAGTGGAACTACAGAGTTATGTTTAATTTAAAAAGCCACCCAATCACAAATTCTGCACAACGCCATTGGCTTCCCTGGCAGCGGCCCAGCAGAAATCAATCTACACCTGCTGACCAATAGAACTGGATCCTCCTTGAATGGTCAAAAAAAAAAACTAATTTTACTGCACCTCTTCCAATAGTTCTGAATGGCACAGAGCAGCAATTGGCAAAGTGATGACAGGAAAAAAATGAACCAGCGAGGGTCTCATCTGCTGGAATCATTATGATGATATTGGATAATAACCTCTCTCTCTCTCTCTCTCTCTCTCTCTCTCGCTCTCATTCCCACACCAAAACTCTTTGTTCAAACAAAAAGAAACCATAAGGAAAGAAAAGTCAATTGAATTCTTCAGTTAGAATGGATATTGTTTGCATTTTTCGTCCTACATTCTGAGAGAACTCAAGTAGGGCATGTGGGGGCAAAGAAACATGTTTTTGCAGAGGATTATGGAATCATACGGGGGGTCAGGTGTCAGGCCGGGTCAGTGGAAATATATGTGAGCTGGTTCAGCGGAGAGCGGCAGGGATTCTCTGCTCATTGCAGGGAGCCAGGGGCTGCTGTCTGATCTTGCCCCATTCAAAAACCCACAGATGGCAGCCACTTACACAGCTCTTCCTGCCCCCATTGCATGAAGGAAAATGGAGTTCTCAGTGTCAATGTAGTCCCTCACCCTCCCTGTGTGTGCCCCCTGTGCTATGAAGCATCAGCTCTAGGGGCTTCTTTCCTGCCATTCTGGTGAGAAGGGGAGTCTGAAGTCTTTACAGTTTTGCGTGGAGGGCTCTGCTCCGCTACAAGCTCATGCAGTGAAGGTTCCTTGTACATGGCCACTGAGGGAACAAGAAGAACAAAGACACACGGATGTTATTTAAAACAACAACAGAGAAACTAGAATTACAGTTCATAAATAGTACATTGTAAAACTTCAAGAATCTGCCACTGAAGACCCATGTCGGTTGACCACTAATTTGAATAATGGAAAGGGCCATTAGGTGGTACAATGTAGTTATTATCTGGTTTAAGCTAGTTGAAGCTGGATATTAGCTGGTCTGTGCTAGTGCAAGCTAGTTATTGACTTGTTTAATCTGGTGCAAGCTAGTTGTTAGCTGATCTAAGATGGTCATTAGCTGGTGCAAAATGGCCATTAGCTGGTCTGGTTATTATCTGGTTTAAGTTAGTTGAAGCTGGATATTAGCTGATCTATGCTAGAGCAAACTAGTTATTTGTTAGTGATTTAAGCAGGTGCAAGCTGGTTGTTAGCTGATCTAAAATGGTTATTAGCTGATGTAAACTGGTTATTAGGTGGTCTAAGCTGGTTATTAACTTGTCTAAGCTAGTGCAATCTGGTTATTATCTGGTCTAAGTTAGTACAAGCAGGTCAATAGCTGGTCCAAGCTGGTGAAAGTTGGTAATTCGCTTATCCAAGCAGGTTATTAACTGCTATAAACTGGTTATTGGTTGGTTTAATCTGGTGCAAGAGGGTTAGCCGATCTAAGATGGTCATTAGCTGGCACAAGATGGTTATTAGGTGGTCGAAGCTGGTTATTATCTGGTCTAAGATACTACAAGCTAGTTACTAGCTGGTCTATGCTAGTGTAAAATGGTTATTATATGGTCTAAGATACTGCAAGCTGGTTACTAGCTTGTCTATGCTAGTGTAAAATGGTTATCATTTGGTCTAAACTAGCTGGTTATTGGCTGGTCATTAGCTTGGTTATTATTATAAGCCATACTGATCACATTAGCTGGTTTGTTGCTGGTCCAAACTGGTCTGCTAGCTTATCACCTGCTTGGACCATGCTGTTGACAAGCTTAAACCAGCTAGAAACTAAAACTCAGTTACCCCTTTAAGTTAGATTTTCCATCTGGGAATTTTGGAATCTTTGCTAATCTGTATTCTGCATCTGAATATGTCTGAAGTTTAAAATGTAATCTGACCTTCGATAACTTTAGGTAGGAAGTGTGCGGCCGCTTTGGTCTTCTTCACACGGTTGCCCTTCATCACTTTGCCATCCCGGTTGATGCCGATGTACCACGAGCGTCCAGACTGGCTTTGGCGGTACAGCATGGAGGAGTACGTCACGTAGTAGTTCTCAAACACGCTCTCTTTGAATTTGCACTCTGGGTTGAAATTCTCCTGCCAAAGAATGAAAAACACAAATATGCTAATATTTGTATGCACAGACATCTGAAATGCATGCGCATACATGTATATGAATAAGAAAGATGACAAAGTTAGCATGTTGCGCACAGAAATAACATCATGTCGTACTTTCGATTGGTTGCTCTGCATCTGTTGAGAGTAAGAAGAAATCCCATCATGGTGTTTCTTTGAAAGCAATGTTCTCTGGAGAGCAGGAGGTAGATTATTCTACTCATAAACTGCATTCATTTGCATGACTGATCAACTTAACGCTGTCCCCAAAGGTACTCTGAGAGCTCCACTCAATATACATACCGGCATGCAAATGTAAATGTGCACACTTGAAAGCAGAACCCACAAATCTATAGATGCACAAAATGTCACGGCCTGAGATGAAGAAAAACACATTCCGCTTTCAACCTAAAACTTTAATTTAGCCCGTTCTGAACAAACCTCGCTGTTCCCATTCATCTCCCTTTCGCTTACAGCCCTTCCCACCAATCCAAGCCACTGTAGCCAGGTGACTGTAACCAGGAGCAACATGTATACATCTCTCTTAGTCTTCGTCAGGGTCCCTGCCCTGTCAGAGAGCAGACCCAATCAGCAGGATTGATTTACTGAGGGTAGCCAAGCAGAAACGGCTGACTGAAGCCTTTCGGCAAGCCACCGGAGATTGAGATATTTGGACCGAGTGAGGTAAGGAGAAACGGAGAAGTTGCTGGGGTCTGGAAGGGGACGAAAGGCTTACAGAAGTTTTTCATGTCTGATAATAAGCAGCTCAGCTCGACTTGAGTGAAAACCAGCAAATACGACCAAATTTCTGCCTGTCTGCTTTTAGTCTATGCAACGCTCAGGATTTTTTCTTAGATTTGTCTTCATCAGCTCTCTCGTACTTTTTCTTTCACTCATTTTATCCAACCCACCCTCCCTTCCTCTTGGCCTATGCATCAAACTAAGCAGCTTTTGCCTCACGTATTTGATGTCCTCAAAATCTCACAGACGGAGGAGATCAATAGATGATCAGCCTCATGGAATGCTAATAACAATCTAATCGCATGAATCGAGTTACCATGGCCACCGTGAAGGACATAGTCACCTCCTACCTCACATTTTCCAGTTCAATCTTCCAATATATGACCCCAAAGTTGACCTTTGACCTATTACACAACATACATCACATTATAGGTTGTGGTGGTACCGTCTTACGACATTAAGAACTTGACCTCTATCCTCTGACTCCAGGAGTTGACCTGAAGACAACCTAAGTTAGGACGTTTAAACATTTTGATGCCAAGGACCCCCAAATATGTGAGAAAAAAAAATGTGTGAGAAAAATATGAAATGTGATATTATAAACACAACATAATTAAATAAATGTTTCCCAAATTAAAATATATTTTCATTATATTTACATTTTTATTTTTTTCAAGCAAATTATCATTATTAATATTCTCTAAAATAGTTATTTTTATTAAGTATATCTGCGATTAAAACTTTAAAAATATTGTATTATATATAAATAAAAACATAAATGTATAGACAAAAAATGTATAGACAAAAAATGTAAATAAAGTAAATAATTTCTATAAGTTTCCATTAGGAAAATAAAAATAAACTACAGACACACATGCACATACACTCATTTCATTAATATCTTAAGTGTCAATATCATTGACAGCCAAAACAAAAATGCATTTTATAAAAAAAAAAAATTTGTTTTTATTCATATTCTCTAAAACTGTTAACACTTTAAAGTATTTTATATATATATATATATATATATATATATATATATATATCAAATAATTATTCTATATATGATTTTCTGCTCATTTCTGCAATATTTTAATATTATTATATTTAATGAATGTAAAAAAAAAAGACTTAATATTTTATAGACATCTTAAGTACGCACATTAACACTGACAGCCCTAAAAATACATTTTATATATATTTTTTTCAGTTACATTTTTCATGGACCCCTTAGCACCCCTTGCAGCCCCCTGGAGGTTCCTGGACCTCAATTTGAAAACCCCTGACCTAGATGGCGAGCTCCTCTCTGTGCTTGGGAGAGTTAGCATTGAGTAGCTTTACAGGCTTAAATAAAAAGCTGATCCTTTTGTTCTTACTCATGAAGGAGTTAGACAGCTTCCTTCAGCTTGCGTATCTTGGTAGAATGGGTTGGAATGACATGTGGATAAAGAGGTAATAACCGGCCTGCGTGCAGAGAATCCTGACGACAGCGCCAACATCTTTATCATGCAGAGCAGCACTCTGACCTTCCCCTCGCCCCACCCCCTCTCCTCCCCTCCTCCTCGCTGCCCCCCTCCATTTCTCTCCATTCGCATACAAGTCTCTGATTGCATCTGTTTCACCTGGTCATAAAAACTGCCCATTTATGAGCTTCTGTATAAAACAGGGTAACTAGCCCTGCTAACACTTTAAACTTACTCAATTTCAAAATCAATGCATAAACACTTGGGCAACTGACCTTTAAAGTATGCATGAAATCAAACCTAATCATATTTACTTTTTTAACTATTAATCTGAGATGGTGAGAAAGGTGCCCTAAAATCAAGCCTCTTTTTTCTCATTTAGTATTCGGCTTCACTTGGAAAAACGTCACTAAAATACTTCAACTGCCAGGTTACGCTGACTTTAACAGTGAGAAGTTTGTCACTGATTTAAGCATTTTAACTTTTCTAGGCATACACAGTCATATGATGTGACAATTTATTCTGCTATAAATATATAAAATGGCCATCATAATTCCTGAAGACTTTCTGAACTACTCCTAGAAGTATACATTAATTGTTTTTATTTGTATATGTATGCTTTTTTTTTTTTTTTTTTTTTTTTTACAATTCAACACTATCAGTATTTATCAGAATCTGCCATTTGCAACTTCTGACAAACCAAACTTTAAAAATCTAAATTCTTCTTAACAGATTTGTCATACATATTTAATTTACTTTTTTATATATTTATATATTCAAATATTTTTAAAAACATTAATATGATATATATTTCATATTATAAATTATTCTGAATGTCACACCAAATGCTTTAGCGTCACACCATAGAATAATAATAAAAACAAAAGCATCCTTGATGTTGTCACAATTCACTCGGGGAGCAAGGAACGAGGAAACGAGGAGTACTTGAATAACACAGTCTTTAATAATCCACAGGAAAACCGAGAACAAGGAGGACATTCAACAAGTAGACCCGACAAACAAGAACTGAAAGGACTAGGGCTTTTAAAGGCAGGATAATTGGGGAGGAACGAGACACACCTGGAATCAAATTAACACAATCAACATGAGGAAGAAACTGGGTCACAGGGGCAAAAACACACACAGAATAGTCCACAATCTTGACATAACGCCCCCTCTCGGAAGGTGCGTCCTCGCATCGTAGCAACAACAGAGGGAACTTGGGAGGAGGTTCTGGAGGGGGACGGATATCCGGGAGGAGACAGGAGGGACCCGGAGCAAGAGGAGCACAGCAGGACCCAGGCCGCAGCCATGATGTCGACCCACGGTGGAGCCGATGGAGGGAGGAGCCATGGAGGAGGAATGGCCGCCGACTCCAGGGGACCGACCAACGGCGGCGGAGCAGGTGGTGGAGGAGGCTGAGAGACGGAGAGCTGATGAGCCAGGGCGACGGGGAGGAGCAGATGGTGCCGGCGACCGACGCGGAGATGTGGATCCGGGAGGCCGCGGTGGAGCCGAAGCGACAGAGGACTGAGGTGGAGCCGAGGGGAAGAAGGAGCCTGACAGAGCCG